GGGGGGGGGAGTATTTCCTGAGTTTTCCTTCCAGGCTGCTGGCACCTAACCTGGAAGTTTGATGCTGGTGCAGGATAAACGATAGGAACCGCCTCATGACTCTCACCTGACCAAGACAATTTTAAGGTGAGCACAGTGATGACAAAACATGTACTGACTCTAAAGTATCAAAATAACTGAGCCTGGAATTGGAGAAACAGTGAACAGGCAGAGAAACCTGTAGCATGGAATTCTAAATGTCTTTTAGTAAAAAAAACCCAGAGCTAGGATAAAAGCTGAAAGATCAGAGAAGCAGAACAAGCCCCAGCCACCACCTCTCACCTCACCAACTCCTCAGCCTGGAAGGGCTCCAGCCGAAAGGGCTTCCTCAGCCTAAAAAGCTTTCGTTCTTGTCTCCTCACGCTTTATACACCTTCCTCCACCCACCATATTACTTACTTCCTAGTGCTGAGATTGAAGGCGTGTGACTTCCCACATGCTGGGATTAAAGGTGTGTGCCACCACTGCCTGGCTCTGTTTCTCTCCTGGACTGACTTGATCTCATGTAGTCCACGGTGGCTTTGAACTCACAGAGATCCAGACGGATTAAAGGTGTGTGCCACCACTGCCGGGCATCTATGTTTAATCTAGCGGCTTGTTCTGTTCTCTGATCTTCAGGCAAATTTTATTAAGGTACACAATATATCACCACAGAAACTGACAAGGACAAAGCTCTGAGGACTGGGGCAGAGGTTGAATGGAAGGGGAATTTACTGGCTGGTTCTATGTGTCAACTTGACACAAGCTAGAGTCATCAGAGAGGAAGGAGTCTCAGTTGAGGAAATGCCTCTATAAGATCCAGCTGTGTGAAACATCGGTAGCGACTTCTGCCCTCCGGGATTCTCCCATTGTGCTGTAAGCCTGTATTTAAGACCTCCTCCCTCCTTTAATAAACAGCTTTCAGCATTAAAAAAACAAACAAACAAAAAAGCCAAGTTACAATGCAAAAAAAAAAAAAAAAATCCAGCTGTAAGGCATTTTCTCAATTGGTGATCAATGGGGGAGGGACCAGCCCATAGTGCGGTGGTACCATCTCTGGGCTGGTAGTCCTGGGTTCTATAAGAGGGCAGTAAGCAGCATCCCTCTATGGCTTCTGCCTCAGCTCCTGCCTCCAGGATCCTGCCCTGTATGAGTTCCTGTCCTGACTTCCTTGGATAATGAACAGCAATACTGAAGTGTAAGCCAAATTAAAAAAAAAAACAAAACCCTTTCTCCCCACCTTGCTTTTTGGTCATGGTGCTTTGTCACAGCAATAGAAACCCTGACTAAGACAATGGAAGAAAGAATTGCAGGTGCAGTAGGGCAGGGAGGCGACAGTCAGTGGTCCATATGGGTTGGCAGGCCCGCTGTGGACAGAGAGTAGATCTCTAAAATATCGAAACAAACGTCACAGTGACTTTGGTAGGCACTGTTTCAAAAGGTCTGGTAGGAACAAAAACACTCAGTAAGAAGAGAGCCTTAGAAACAAGACAGTACATAATATGAATGAAACATCTGCTTTGAAAGAGTGAAAAGACGGGAGGCAGAGCCAGGCGGATCTCTGTGAGTTCGAGGCCAGCCTGGGCTACAAAGCGAGCTCCAGGAAAAGCACCAAAACTACACAGAGAAACCCTGTCTCGAAAAACCAAAAAAAGGGCTGGAGAGATGGCTCAGAGGTTAAGAGCACTGGTTGCTCTTCCAAAGGTCCTGAGTTCAATTCCCAGCAACCACATGGTGGCTCAAAAAAACCATCTGTAATGAGATCTGGTGCCCTCTTCTGGCCTGTACATACGGAACAATGTATACATAATAAATAAATCTAAAAAAAAAAAAAAAAAAAGAAAAGAAAAACCAAAAAAAAAGAGTGAAAAGAAATGGGGTGACAATGGAATGCAGATGGGCTTAAGGAAGTGGGGGGGGCGGGGACATGCTTGTTTATGGATTTAGGTAACTCGATACTGAAGGAGAAATAAACGGTATAGAACCGAGAGGGCAGTCACACCAACGGAAATTTTCAATGTGGTGAATGTGTTTAGGAATAACCAGCAAAGGACCGGTGAGCTGTCTCAGCGGCTAAGGGCACTTGCCGCCAAGCCTGACAACCTGACGACCATCCCCCAAACCCACAAAGTGCAAGGAAAGAACCGACCCCTGCAAAGTGCTCTCTGGCTCCCACACATGTGCCACGGCACATGCACGCACACACACAGAGGCATACAGACCGAAGGAAAGCATTTAAAAAAAAATTGAGTAGCTCGCAAGAGAGAAGAGGCGGGTACCAGTGAAGTTCAAGGACTAGGTTTACCGACAGGAAGGTATGGCAACTGTCAGCACGCGAGAGTCGGGCCAAAGAACATCCTTACCCTGGGCGTTCACT